GAAACTTTGTCTTCAAAATAAGGGTGCGTCTTATATTCCGAAAAATATGGTAATAAAACACATAGTGATTCAATTACATAGCATCATCAGTTGGTTAATGTCACTGTTACCATGGGTGGCTGCAGGGGGAAGGGGGGCAAAAGATTGTAAAAATATGTGTGGTATTACTTGCAAAAAAGCCAACCTACAGGCAGCTGTTTGTGCTAGAAATTATTAATAGCAGTATTCATACCTCATGGAAATAAATTTTAGAAAAGTGTTCAGATTGTCCTCTTTAGTAATAAGTAAGTAACTCATTGCATAAAAATAATTTAATGTACAAAATTTTCATAAATTTTACTGCTATAAACTATAATATTTTTATATATTAAAAGTGGTATCGTTTATAGAAATAATAAGTTTTTAAGAACTCCAGTTTTTCAGTACCGCATTCAAAAATAACATCAATAAAGATATCATAAAACCCTCACATGCAGTCCTAGTTCAAGTCATGTTCTTGTTGTGAGGAGAGTACTTTTATTTAAAATTTTGTTCTATTATAAAGAAATGGTTGTTGTATATACCACAATTATTTTTCTAATTGTCTGAATCTTGAATACCCAAAGTGTGAAATTTTTTAAGGATTTTTGTTTTTGGTGCCATTCAATAGATGGCATAGGAGTTTTGATTAAATACATAGATTTTGTTTTTTTTAAATTTCACGCAAAGCTACACGAGGGCTATCTGCGCTAGCCGTCCCTAATTTAGCAGTGTAAGACTAGAGGGAAGGCAGCTAGTCATCACCACCCACCGCCAACTCTTGGGCTACTCTTTTACCAACGAATAGTGGCATTGACCGTCACATTATAACGCCCCCACGGCTGAAATGGCAAGCATGTTTGGTGTAATGGGGATTTGAGCTCGCGACCCACAGATTGCGAGTTGAGCGCTCTAACCACCTGGCCATGCCGGGCCTACATACATAGATACTGACATACACGCTACAACCATTCTAGAAAGATTTGTTCTCTTGTTTGAAATTTATACTACATAAGATTAACAATTCTGCATTGATCATTAATGGCTCTCTCTCTCACCACTTACTTACAATCATATTTTGACTTACGCTATTTAGTGTTCTTCGTAGCCTTATTGCTACATCATATTTGAACTGGTAAAATATCTTTTGATGCCATTCACCTGGCGAGATTTTCTTTTCTTTTAAGTTTCAAGTTTTGCTAAGCAACTAACATGGCTGCAGCACACTCCACATTTGCCCCTATTTATTTAATTCAACGTGGTTAAACAGTTTGATACACTTAAAATTTTAAGATTTCTTTCATAAATTAAACAAATGTGATACAGAGTTTTATCCAAAATCAATTCATTTGCATTTCTTTTCAAAACAGGATGAGGTGTGTTGTACCTTTAATAATTCCTTTTTCTTTGAGGCTTTCCATTGTAGGCCTTCTAAGAAAAAAGTTGCGTAATCTGTCACGGATCTTCTTTTTTTTCTCTAATGGACTAGTTTCAAGGCTGTCATCACCGCTTCCTCTAATTGCTGAAATGAACAGATTGCTTCACAAATTTTAATGCTAATAAAAAAGTAATTCCTTAATTATTTTGAAATAATGCAATCCTTACATATTGATACTCAACCTTACAAGTTTCCTCTTTTCATTTTTTCAAATATTAATTAACTATAATAGATTGTAACAGAAAGCTCTTACTTACTATAAATGTTAAACTACCACAGATATGAAATTTTCTTTGTTGATTATACAGCTACTTCAACTATGCCTATTCCAAAAAAAAAACTTTTTATGAATGAAAAAACCTAGAAGTTGTCATTACATTACTTAAACAATCTTTTTTTGAACTTACGTTTTGTTGATTTTGAACGTGCCACTTTATTTCTTTTTTTTTCATCTTTTAACCCTTTCACATTATGGTCCTGTTGGTCTGTATGTGTAAGTTGATGATCAAAGCCTGAAGGCTGTAAGGGCAATATTTAACAATATACTATAACAAACAAAACCTGAAAAAATATAATTATTTTTCTTTCCTCTTCCTTACCTTATGCAACAGTTTACATGGGGGTAACCTTATATTATGAAAGCTGTTCCAAGCATTAATAGAAAAAAGCCACAGCATTTCCAAAATTCACCTTTTCAATTATCTTTTAAACAAGATATTGAAAAAAGTCTGAGGTCAGAAGCATCCAAGTTATTTACAGAAGAGATATATAAACAAGTAAAAAAAAACACATTTTTGTTTTTAATATCTACCTCCACCACCAAAAGTGCATGGAGGTAATGTTTTCACCCCTGTGTATGTGTGTTTGTCAGCAAGATTTCTCGAAAACGCGGGTGGAATGGATTTGGAAAAAAATGAATATACATTTGGACTATTACTCAACTTAGAAGTGATTAGTTTTTGGAGGGTCAAAGGTCAAGGTCACAGCAAGATCACAAAAATCCAAAATGTCCCTATCAGTTAACATGGGCACCAATTTTTCACACTATTTTTATTTTATAACTCGGTCAAAAATTACTACAGAAAACATAAATGGCTTTATTTAAGGTAACATTTCGCTATTACAACTTTTTTTTTTATGTAAGCCTAAATCAGTTGGCAAGCATCTTGTTTGCCTCGATGAAGTTGTAATGGTGAAATGTTGGCTTAAATAAAACCAATTATGTTTTCTGGAGTAATATGTCATGTTTTATTTCTCCTTTTAAACATGAATAGAATTCTCCAGTTTGTGCTAGAAACTTTAATTAACTCGCATGATGTTCTACTTCATTTCTGCTCAAGAGTTATAGTTATTAGTAATAAAAGTAGTGGTGAGAAACCAACAGAAAATTTATATATTACTCAATAAGAGAATATGTCCCCAATTCAGTAAAAAAAAAGTTATTTCAGCAAATATTAAATCTGAAACAGCTTCCAAACACCACCTGGAGGTACATTTTCAAAAAATTTGAAAATGAAAACTGATAAATGTTTAATTTAAAGTCCTGTATTTTACTGTCCAACGGCCTCTATTTGTTTACAACACATGCCTGTCCTTTTACCCCTACCACCTATGGTTATGGATCAAAGACCATGACATCGTGTTTGTAGATTCGCATTCAAATTTTTATTGAACTACAATTTGTGAATGTATGTCAATAAGTTTGGTATCAAATTGTAGATTATAATTCAAATTTTAGTATTATACATTAGTTAATTTCTTAATTTAGAAGTAAATATAAAAAAAAACAACTAAATATCGATTTTTGTGTGTCACAAGGTATGTTGAATGCAGTACTGGTTCAAATTAGATGTTTGTGATGTCCAAATACAAAGTCTATATTTTCTTACAAATTAGATACTCAGATTACCGATATTGACAAGCTAGAATCTAAGATAAGAACCTCCTATCTCTTCTATTTTCTGTGATATTAACATATTTATTGAATCAACCAAGTTGGCCTTTCCCACCTCTTCTGTTTTTTTAAAATAGTTGTTTACGTACACCTACTTTGTCCAATGACGTGTGTATAACCAATCAAAAGCTCAGAATGTCCCCTAGTAGTTTTTTCAGTCTCTGTAAAGTATTTGTATGGGAAACTCTTTCTCTTCATACTAGATTCCAAGCTGTAAGGTAAGCTTGAAAAAATCATATATTTTTAGACCCAAATACAGCTTATTTACAAGCTTGATAAATTATAGTAGAATTCTGTGGTATTGATGCAGTAATTTACAAATACATAAAACCTAAAAAAAGTATTTTGTTTTACATCCTCCACATGCAAAAGTTGATAAGGCCTAGCAACTTCAGCAAGCAGCAAACGAGTACAAAGTTCATAACTAGAAGAGATAATTGTTTTCTATATTTCTTTATTTACTGTTCTATATTTCAAGAAAAATAACTGAAACTTATGAAATTAATTGTAAATAATAATAATAATTTATATACATATATAATGTATTATAACTAAAATGTGACTGTATTTTACAAAATACTGGTCCACTAGAACACAGCCAAGACAGGTAACTTTGTAAAGGCTAGTTTTATATTCTTGAATATGGTAACATGAGTGCATGTGCACTGAATCATTGCAACTTCTGTAATGTTAGTCAGGCACACCAGAAAGGTCAATATAATAAAAATAATAAATATATATAATGTATAATGTTATGAGATTCAAGCTGTTTATAATAAACATTTGTGTTTTCGTGTTATTATCTGTAGTCATTCTAGAATAAATAAAATATAATTTATATCATTTCCTAATTTTTTTATGGTGGTTACGAGGTTGGTCAAATTAACCAAACCTGTACAGAGATACAATATTGAAAATAATAGATAAAATATAAAGTTTTTCTAAAGAAACATGTATGATAATTATCTGAAGGTAATAAAGATTTTGCATGTGAAATCTGAAATTTTTTTAATACAAAATAAGTATTTTTTATCTTAAAATCAAAATTACTTTGCATGTTGGATAGTCAACATTTGAAAAAAAATGCATGAGAAAAACATTACTTTAAAAATCTTAAAACCTAATTAAAAAAATCTGACATTTTGCTTGCAAAAGCCTCATAATGTTTACTGATAATTTGCAAAATTTCATGAAGACACACTTACTAATTTAAAAGCTATAGCACGAAAACCATAACAAGCACAAAATTATTACAAGATCAGTCCCTGGGACCGAGCCCATAGTGAAAGAGTTAGTCTAACCTAAGTTTGAAAGTAAAGGGAATTTTGTTAACTTACTGTACCAGTAGGGTGTTACAGCATCCACTAGTGTAGTAAGAAAACTTTAAAAATTATTACTGTAGTTAATTAATTAGTTGAAATGTTAACCCTTTGAATGTGATGTAGCATTAAATCCCTTTCTGCACATGTCATGAGATTTTAGTGAGTTAAATTCAAAATTGAATTAAACCACTTTTCTATAAACATATTTTAATGAAATTACTATTATAAAGTACATTATAATTTAAGGTTTTATATTATCTAAGTTTATTCCTTTATTTTAAAAAGAAAAATCTGAAACAGTAATTAAAAATTAAAACTGCAGTTTTTGCTGTCACATGATTCAATGTGTTCAAAATTTTCAAGTTTAAGAGGTCTTAGACAAGAAACTATGTGTTCCTAATACAGACTATCGGCCTAGACGGTCAAAGTACAGTTCCAGCTGTCTTTCATTATCTGGGAGGAAACTTCCAAGAATTTCTCCCCATGTGAAACAACATTCTAATATTTCTAAGTTTAAGGTCAGCCACGTCCACTTGCAAAGTTAAAGCTGTGTTGCCAAGCGACACTTTGAAGTTGAATGGCATGTTTATACCCAATAGAAAGAGAAGAGTTTGCACTATTCAGTAAAAGCCTTAAGAACCTTCTACCTGTGTGTGTGGGTCTGTAGTATGAAATAGAATATAAGCTTAGTCCATTGCTCTATTGAGGGGGTATGTAATGTTTGGCAAGTGTTTCTTGCCTTATATGTATTACTTTGTTAAAAAGTTAGATTGCATTTAGGTTTTACATTTATATCTTAATTAATTATGTATTTATTTGTGTTTTAAAATGTATATTTGAAATGTTTATGTAGTTGTAGTTTGGCTTACCAAAATGTCTGAACAAGATGGAGTCATTCGCGAATGCGAACGCAAGTGTTTGGAATTTGTGCATGAGACTCACCCTATAATAACAAAAGATCGCTGCACCGAACATATTGTGGATCTTGGGATAATGAATAAATAACAAAGAATTGGAAAGGAAAATTAAAAATAAACTATAAGTGAAAAGATAAAGACATGAAATTATGTATATGACAAAAAAGAAATTTCAAAATTATTTTTCAAAAATTTAAAACGTATGTATTTACTTCCACTTCTTAATTTTAAACACTTGATTGCACTGTACGTTGATGATGATGATATCTGGAGTTAATGATGTAAATGAGAAAATGGAAAACAAAATATAAATATTTACTTTAAAAACTTTTGATATTCATTTAGGAGGTTCTAGAGATTATGCAAATGAAATGTGAAAAATGTGATAAGAAATAGTATTTTTTATACTCAAAATAAAAATCACATTTCATGTCAACTATCAGATTAAATAATGAATGTTTTACTATAAATAGTAGAAAAAAACAAAATTAAATATTTTATTTTATTTTTATAAAACTACATAATCTTAGGACCGTTCAAGTCAAATATAAAACTAATTCATCAACTAGTTTCATTTTTATAAAGAACTTTCACAAAAGTCGCATACCTACTTACAGTGTAAGTAGATCATAGTCAAAGGGATAATAGACATTAAAACACTGCTTAAATCTTTTTAAATAGTACATTTAGTTTTTAGATTTTAGACTACAAGCCAAAGTAAATGTATTCCCACTCAGCATAACCTGTTAAACTTGAAGAAAACAACACATCACATTACAGTACAAAACCTGCTCACCAGCCCCATCACTGCAGTCTTGATCGAATTGAACCACTCCATACTTGTCTGAGCATTATCATCCTGAAGAAGTACTCTTTGTCCCAACACTGTACTTATCTGTAAATATGAAAATAGTTCAATAAGTACTACATGTCTTCAGCTATGATTAATATACTGAATAGTCCACGGAATACGCAAATATGTCTATAGTGTTCTACTACAACAATTAAAAATCGAGTGTCATATTTTTTGTTTTAATGTTAACTGAAAATAATGCAAAATTATGAGATGAAAGTTCACCTGATTTGAGAATATTTTGTAATAATTAACACGTAACTGCTTTGCCAAAATTTGTTATTCAAATAATCATCATAAAAACATAAAATTTTAGCCTATTTTTTTCCATTAAAATTATTGGTATACTGCTGAAAGAGAAAAGTTTTCTCAACTTTTAAGTTAAATGTTATAAGACTGAGTGTCAGTAACAGGAAAATTACTAAAACACCTCATGCGGAAATTTTTGTACAAAGGCATAAAATATATTTCTATTATTTCAAAGATCCTGAATTGGTTAGATATAAAAATAAATTTAAACAAGAAATTGGAGATTTAATGAGAAGACTCTAATCAGTATTCTAATAAAAAAAAGTCAAAAAAAAGTTTAACATTATTTCTGAAATTCCAATACAAAATGGAAAAGTTACAATAAAACAAATACTAATATTAATGTGGTAGACACATGATTATTAGAAACAATTAACTGCAACACACATACATGTGTGTGTGTGTGTGTGTGTGTATTATATATACTACCTACCCCCCCGTGCTGTACCTACACTCCGCCTTACGGCCTACAGCAGATGGTTCGTTACGGTAGGTT